AAATGTTTGTGCTTGTTTCTGTATGATATAATTGTTCATATATCTATTAAAATACTGATATTCTGGTCTATAACTCCTCCCCGAACTTCCCGCTGACCTGTATCTTGGTCTCTCATTGGCTGTAGGTGATCGCCAATGTAGTTTTCAGTCAAAACTCGTTGCACACAGCGTGATTGTGAATATTGTGGTCTCTCATTGGCTGTAGGTCATCGCCAATGTAGTTTTCAGTCAAAACTCGTTGCACACAGCGTGATTGTGAATATTGTGATATTTAGCATGCCAAATATTTCGCGGGCGTCGGCGACGTGTCGGCGATTCCCTCAGATCGCGTCTTTGATAATTCACACTGCGTGATTGTCACTCGCGTGAACGAGCACCGATTTGCCTCCGATGTCGGGCATTTGTCGGCGATTTCACAAAACCTGTCGGCGAGTGAAAAATCGGGCTAATATCGTGCAGTGTGAACTCGGCATTAAGGACACCGAGTTTTGCCATTTTTTCAGACCTGGGACAGTCGCACTTGTAACTGTCAGTGTGAGGGGACAAGAAACAATATTAATGAAGCGTTTTCTTGATATATTAGGCATATTATTAATAATGAATGTGCACATATTGTGAATTTATTAAACCTAATGACCTAGCTTTAAAGTAACTTGTCTAAGAAAATGATTTATAAAACATAAGTATCACTTAACCATATGTTTATTTTCTTCACTGACAAAGATGAAAATGAAAATATTATAATCAAAGCAGAAAGCAGGTTTTGGCAAATAATATACTTCCCCACTGACTTTAAATTGCTATCCAATTATTTGGCCTTCAGGCATCTTAAAATGCACACATTAGGGCTGTCAAAATGGCTGTAAAATTAAATATTTATACTTAAATAGTATTAATATTTTAATTATATTCAAATTTAAAAGGCATAATTTCAATTGGGGGAAAAAAGCTTTTGGCTTGTGTCCTGAGGCCACACGAGGGCGCAGTGAATTGAATGTGGATTTTTATTTTAAATTCAACGAATATTTGACATTCTACGTTTAATATAACAGCAAATAGCACATATGCAGATCAGTGAAATCAAAATTTTCTGGTGGAAGGGTTGTGGGGAGTGGAGCCAGGATTTGGGACATCGGTAATTAAAAAATCCTGTCTACGTCCTATGTCTTCCATCAAACAATAATCACTTAATTAATTGCTTAATTATCTAATTAACTTGAATACTGCAGGCCTGGGACCCACCAGACAATTTTTAAATCTTAAACAATTTTAAAACCATGGGCGACCACAGACATGAGGACCATTTTTAACTCCTTAAAACAAAATAATGATGACAAAATTATATAAAAATAGATACATTTCCCAGGAAAAATGGACCAAATCAGGGCAAATACATTAAAGAGATTAACCAAATATGACTAAAATATGCAGGCAGGCACTAAACAACAATCAAGAAATTAACCGATACCCTTGAAAAAAAAACGCATGCATCATTTTCAGTGTCAACAGTCAGAATAAGCCAATTTAAATGCAAAAAGTGCTCAATATAAGTGATCAGAAAAAGCAACGTAATTAGCAGGTTGCTTTTTCACACTCGTTCATGCACACACCATGCCAGTCAAAACTGTCATTCATTGATACATACTGTACGATAATCCAACCACAAAAAATTAACAACAACAATGCCTTCGCGTCACACTTTAACGTCAGACAGAATTAGAGAAAGTAATTTGTGAAGTACACATTGTAGAACATAATACAGAACTTTACACAGTCAAAACGAATCAAGTCCAGCAGCTTTCGATGATATACCAGTCTGGACCATTTAAAAGATGTCCTGAAGCAGGACAGGATCGTATAGTCCCAGATGTTCAGTTTCAGTTTTAATTTATTTATTCAACTGGGCTCTGATTTCAGCGTTACAATGATATTAGAGCCTTTGTGTCATCTCCCTCCACAGGTGTAATTCACGTTTTGAGAGTCACTCTCCCACTCTTTACTGTGTAACTTACTGTATATTTAGGCCACTCTGGCATTAGTATCACTTGATTAAACAGCTATACATTCAAAATCCGATCCGTTATCGCGCTAAATACCCCTCACTCATGAATCATTGTCAGGTAGCCTATGGTTTTGGTCATATCTTTTATTTTGTAATTTGTTGTAGCCATGTTTCTTCCTTGCCCTCAATTGTCCTGTCGTGTGGATATCAGTTCTGTTTGTCCATTGTTCCTGTTCATTAGTTCTGTTTACTAATTGGTTGGTTTTGTCATGTGTTCCCCTTGTCCAAGTATTTTAGCCCTCATGTTTGCCGTGTTACCTTGTCGTGTATTATGTTTGTGTCAACCTGCCTAGAGAGGTCAAACATGACTAGAGAAGAAAAACACATGGAGGACAATCGACGTTGTCAGCTGGCTCGCGTTCAGTGAATAACAAAATAGAAAAAAAGAATATGGGTGATGTTCTTTCTCAGTACTCTACTGTCGATCTGTCCACTCCATCTCGATCGAGAGCAGTTAAATAATTGTAATGACACCACACAGTAGAGGATTTTATGGACCAAAAAAATCATTTGTGACAAGCCTCGAATCGGGGGTGCAAATCGGGTTTAAATATGGCCTTAAAATCTTCAAGTGTGTGGCCAGCTTTAGTGTTACTTTAACACTCTGCTGGTGGTTCCCATGTGAACACAGAGCAGTGTTAATTTAACACCGGGGATTTAGCTGTGT